ACCACGCACTTTACCCATTTTGAGATGAAAGTTTGTAAGGAAGAAGTGAAGATGTCAAATTTCAAATATTCACAAATCAGCCAAGAAAGAGGTGGGTGAAATTAAAGCGCTCAAAAGCTTTATGGAAGATTATGGCCAGTGCCTGTTGCAGTGAGATTGTGTGTACTATAGCAGTGACACGCTGTCCACACCACCAAATTTGATCATGACGAAACCAAGATTTGTTAAGACAGCATAAAGTTAGGATCTTCGCCTTTCAGCTGGTCAATAGCTGGCTAGCATTTGAATACTTGACAGACATTTTCCTTTTGAGAAGAACACAACGTCATTTATTGATGCGAACACAGCGGATATAGAGTGAAGCATCAATGTAGTGCACCTTCGCTATGATATAAAATACAATACTTGTTACAAGAGATTACTTGGCAATTACTTATCAACATGTTAGACGAGATAGCTGTTTTCTCATTCAAGCAATTGTGATACTTGGGTTGTGCGATTAAATGAGACCGCATTATTTCCCTCCTTCATTTCTTATACTTCCTCATTCTGAGCAGCATTTCTCAACTCTGTTCTAAAAAGTTAGCCATCTCGAATACGTTGTTCAAAGAAGACTAAGATATGTATATATTTGGGACATTGAGAGTATAGTTTAGATCAAATATAAATCCAAAACCATTTTCGCCATTTTCAAACCCTCCACCGCCAAAATTTTTAATCCGTGAGTTCGAAAGTTGAGGCGGGAACATTCAAGATCTTACATTCTGATTATTGGACTTGCCACCATTGATCTATGTCTCCTTAAAACTTAATACCTGCGAAGCTTCGCCTAAGTGTGCAGAAATCTCAAGCTAGTCACAATCAATTTGCCTAAAAGTAGAGAACAACGTCTATTTAAACCTAAATTTGCCGATTGTATTCAACAATACCGAAGTATGTCGCAATGTCTCCTAACGCCTCTCTGGTCTTACCTGTGTGAGACCAAACTTATTTGGGCTTTATTAACCGCATAAAGAGGAGAAAACAATCATTCTGTCCAGAGCTCCAAAGCCATTCAATATTTATAATAAATTTATTTTATCTGTCTCTCATTCATCTCCATCTAACTTGTACATAGAAAAAGGACGAGACAACTTTACAAGACATACCAAACATTGTCGAAGGCAGATGAAGATAAGCATTAATGAATATTGTATTTTTAAAAAAATGCTCTTGGAATATAGATGAAGATATCTGTGTAGACTGTAAACACAATTATGTCTTATTTAACATTGTTGAAGACAATACGTTCCCGTTATGATAATCTAAGGGCTACTGTAGCAGCGTTTTTTGTGATATAATCTGATGAGTTAAACATCAAGCTGAAACTCTTAGGTTGAGTTTTTCTTCACCTCACTGTATTACATGGTTTAAATCAGTGATTTGATGATAACCTCTGACACTGCTAACCATTAAATGCTTATAGCTTACGGTCATGCCATTCAGATTTAATTGAAATTCCACATACTTAAGATTGCCCACTTTCATACTTTGATTCATTTACAAACATGTCTGATTTGAAGAGAAACGCATTTAATATTCCGATAGATTTGATACTAACAATATCAGATAAGATTTACGATACACATATTATGTTGTCAAATAAGGACATTGAGATCGAACTTATCAGCCAACTTTTTTAATAACAAACATTGGCAATTTGTCACAGCAAATCTCCAATGTGGGTGATTTTTTGATACGCCACAAATTTCTAGCAAATGTTTTATGTCATTCTACTGCAAAATTTAAGATTCGAAAAGTTACAGAATCAGAAAAAAATAAAAATGCGACATTGGTTGGAGGGTCCCCTCAAAAAGTCTAAGAAGAAGGGACATCTGACTATTGGTATCGCTAATGGCGAAACATTTAGTAGTCACTGTGAAGATAAAATCTTCTCCGATCTGAATTTTGATGTCTTTGACCTTATCATCGATTGTGATATCGGAGAAGTTAAAATTTCCCTCAACGAAATTTAAAAACTTGACAATTGAACCCAGTTAGCTCTTTCAAGATGTGCCTTGATGGTTTGCAGGACTTCAACAATGCGCGTCCCCTTTAGGGTTTATCAAGATGGACGAATCGAAAGTGTTTTTCAGGGAATTAAAGGTATTGGCAATTTGATATGATTTAAAAACTACGAAAAAGATATTGAAGATTTGTTTAACTCTATGCCAAATCATGAGAAGCTTTCAATCTATAACAATTGCCAACATCCGCTAGATGACCAGCCATTAAGCTCACGCCAGTAAATGGAAAATCTGAAGGCTAATTTTCCAGAAGAAGCACACTTGACTTTGATAAAGTTCATTGTCCTGATCTTAAACACTTATGTCAAGTAACGCATGGGAAAGCTTCTGGAAAGACGGCTTAGGCGATACGCTGGAACATAGAAATTTGCAAAAAAGGAAGGTATCTTCTAATCAGGACCTATTTCAACTTGGAAAAATTCAAATGTTGACAACGTGAAGAATTAGGCATTCAAGATTACCCTTAAAACGATTCAGCATCAGACACAACTACCC